ACACACACACACACACACACACACACACACACACACACACACACACACACACACACACACACACACACACAAGTATATAAACAGTTAAATTTAATGTGACAAGTGTATTCTTTTTTCCCCAAGAAGCATCACTATGATTGGTTCAAGCTGCTCTGCATTGGATCTCTACTTCAAAATCCAGGAGTGGTGGTAGTGGGGGTGTAGGTTGGCGTGACAACAGTAACCACGACAACTGCAGTTCAAACAAACACAGATTTGGCTACAAGAATAAGGCAAGATCATGCACCTTGTATGATGACACAACAGGAGCAGATGGACGGATGCATGATGTAAACCTGTTGTGGTGAGAAAACCATATTTAGCACACTTAGCCAAATGTAACAAGCACTAGCTTGGTCACTCATCAATCACAGATGACTAAACCTATTCCACTGCTGTGCCAGGCCAACTGCACATTACACTAAGCATGCTCTGATGGATCTCCCACAGATCATAGTCCGGAACCACACAAAGAGATCTCTGAGAGATCAGAAAAAATGGCTGAATCATCTGTTGCAGTGGGTCTCTCATTTTACTGACCTCTTAAAGCACTTTGAAGCCACATTTAACCATCCATTCTATAAAATTAGGTCCATGAGAGAGAGGGATGGGGGCTGTTTCCAATTTTGCCTCTGTTTACCTGCACAGTGAATTTAATCTCAAATGAAAAGATGCAAATGAAGGGTAGATTTTGAGTTTCAACTGAACATTTGGCTGAATCTGAGCAGAAAGTATAGCTTTGTATAGTTTACAATTCATTCTACTGCTTTTATCAGCAATCACATCATCGATAAACACTACTGACCTTGTTCCAGTGGCTGCCACACATATGATAACACTATGTTTCAAGATGATGCAGTGTTCTTTGAGTCATGAACTATTCATTTCCTTCTCAATACTTTTGTCCCCTCATAATTCTTCTACAAGTTCATCTAAGTTTCTTTCCAAAATGTTGTTTTCCAAAATCGTGCAGGCTTTTTTTTGGGTAAAATCTAGGCAAAGTGTAAAAAAACAAATATAAACTGTGTTGTTGTCCAAATACTTAGATACCAAATTGTATATTTAAAGAACCTCATTCACTACATTCAAAAGACATGCTGTGGAAGAGAGCCAGAGATGAATAATCATCAGAGATGATGATGATTAAATACAGAGTGGTGTATAAACACAGTGAGAAAAAGCTGAGTGAAGTAGAACTCACGTGTGTTTACTATGTGCATTGAAGGACATATGCTGGTCAAAAATGACCACGGTGTTATTGGAGGCAATGCTATCCAGAGTTGTCTCGTTAGATGCCATCTGGTCATGTTTCTGGGAGGAAACACTCAACGTTTTTGCAGGAAATAAAGATTGAAATTATGAGAAAACCAGAATAAAGAAATCCGGAACCCATAGAAATAAAAACATCAAACATTGGAATAACAATAAAACCACAAACCCAAAATCACATTCACAAAGAATTCACGAACCCAAGACAACAAAAACCCTGTGGGTGCAGGACATACTAGATCAAATCAAGTATCATCACAGTTGATGCTAAAGTATGTTTCAAAGCTACTTTGGGCTGCTAACTTATTCAGATATGGTCGTCAACACCGGTAGTTATACATGTTTGGTTTTTTTGTTTTGTTTTGTTTTGTTTACACTGGATGCCCTAAATGATGTAACCCCAAAGGGATTTGTAGAATGAAACCGGGTTTGCTTTTCATGAAAATGTGTAAAACACTACACTAAGGAACCACTATACTACAGTATGTATAAATATTGTATCTTCCTCAGTCAAACTGGTCACATTTTATGGAGAAAAATGGAATAACACTCATGTATGTACTTGCATGGTACCTGAGATCAAGGTTATGTATCTGTTACCTCTTGCCATCCATATTTAGCTTAAATACGAGAGAGTCATAAGAGATTCTTTCGGGAAGGTGAAGTGTCGCTAAAAACCTACGGTCCAAGCGGTGGCGTTCTTGTGACGGGTAATTAACGTTTATTCAGCAAATCTGAGGTGTGGCAGGGAGTGTAAAGACTGGGGGGAGAGGTTCTTATTGGAGGAAAGACAAATGCTCGGGGCTGTGTCAAGGGATCATTAGTTAGTAATAACTAATGATTAAATGCAGAGAAGTATATAGACGCATAGTGAGGGGAAAAGGTGAGTGAAGAAGAAATACTCAGCAGCCTACAACTACTGCAGCTTACGTAAGGGAGGATTCAGGGTCACCTGGTCCAGCCCTAACTATATGCTTTAGGAAAAAGAAAAGTTTTAAGCCTAATCTTGAAAGTAGAGATAGTGTCTGTCTCCTGAATCCAAACTGGAAGCTGGTTCCACAGAAGAGGGGCCTGAAAACTGAAGGCTCTGCCTCCCATTCTACTTTTAAATACTCTAAGAAACCACAAGTAAGCCTGCAGTGTGAGAGCGAAGTGCTCTAATGGGGTGATGTGAGACTGATTATTCAAGACCTTGTACGTGAGGAGCAGGATTTTAAATTCAATTCTAGATTTAACGGGAAGCCAGTGACCAGAAGCCAGTATAGGAGAACTCTGCTCTACAAATGTAGTGTGTTCGTGGACTTTTAAAAAATGCATTTAATGTCTTTTTCTTTTCCTTGACGTTCTCTGTCTTTCTGATTTTCAGATTTTACAAATTAAGCCCTGTTTTCAACAATACAACAAAACACACACTTTACTAGTGTGGACAAGCACTGTTCTTCCTCCGTGTAGGAGTAGAACTTGCAGTTTCCCAGGGAGATGGGAACAGGTTGTGGAAACAGTGGAGGGGTGAGATGGGGACTAATTAGTGTATTAATAGTTGTATATA